GGTGGATGAGTCTGGAAGCACCATTCATGATGGACTGAAGGGGGAATAGCCTATGTAAAGGTAAGCCAATGGGGAGGGAGTTGAAGTAGTCAAGGCGAGAGATAACATGGGAGTGATTTAGGAGCTTTGCGGTGTCATTAGTTAGGAAGGGGCTTATTTTGGAGATGTTGCAGAGGTTGAGACAACAAGCTTTGGAAAGTGATTGGATGTGGTGCTGAAAGGAGAGTTCAGAGTCCAGGATTACACCTAACACCCTGGCATGCAGGGACGGGTTGAAGGTTGTTGCCTTTCAGTCAGAGGAAGGGGCACATTAAGGAGTAAATATTAGGAGCTCGGTTTTTGAGAGCTTGAGTTTGAGGAAGTGGTGTGACATCCAGGCTGATACACTATGTTGCCAAAATTATTGGGACGCCTGCCTTTACCTGCACATGAACTTTAATGGCATCCCAGTCTTAGTCCATAGGGTTCAATATTGAGTTGGCCCACCCTTTGCAGCTATAAAAGCTTGAACTCTTCTGGGAAGGCTGTACACAAGGTTTAGGAGTGTGTCTATGGGAATGTTTAATCATTCTTCTAGAAGCACATTTGAGAGGTCAGGCAAGGATGTCAGACAAAAAAGCTTGGCTCACAGTCTGCACTCTAATTCATTGGGTTGAGGTCAGGACTGTGCAGGCCTGTCAAGTTCCTCCACCCCCCAAAACTCACTCATCCATGTCTTTATGGACCTTGCTTTCTGCACTGGTGTGCAGTCATGTTGGAACAGGAAGGGGCCATCCCTAAACTGTTCCCACAAAGTTGGGAGAATGAAATTGTCCAAAATGTCTTGGTATGCTGACACCTTAAGAGTTCCCTTCACTGGAATTAAGGGGCCAGGCCAACCCCTGAAAGGCAACCCCACACCATAATTCCCCCCCTCCGCCAAACTTTACACTTGTCAGGCAGGTGCCGTTTTCCTGGCAACCGCCAAACCCAGACAAGTCCTTCAGATTGCCAGACAGAGAAGAGTGATTTGTCATTCCAGAGAACACAGGTTTTTGGGGAGGCTGGAGGAGTATTTAAAATAGGATCAAGTGGGGAGGGAGAGTTAGATTATAATGGGGCAGACAGATCAGACAGGGGTCAGTACTTATTGGTGGGTGGAATGGGGAAAGATGGAGGGAGGGCTATGGCAGATGATAAGAAGGTTCCTATGCAACAAACAACCATAACAATTGGTACCATTTGTATGAAAATAAGAAATATGCAAAATACGTGTGCACAAGGTGTCGATTGATTAAAGTGTTTGTTCACCAATGCCAGACGTCTGCCAAGCAAAATAGGTGAGTTGGAAGCTTTGGTGCATGAACTATGATTTAATTGGCATTACTGAATCTTGGCTTCATTGTTCACATGACTGGACCATTAATATTCCTGGCTATGTTATATTTCGGAGAGACAGGGTAAAAAGGATAGGTGGTAGTGTTTGTCTCTATGTGAGAACTGAACTCAGAGCGAGTGTAAAAGAGGACCTAGTTGATGGAGAGTGTGATCAGGCTGAAGCATTATGGGTGGAACTGCACATGGGCGTGTGTACTACAAAAGTAATCATTGGAGTTTGTTATAGGCCTCCCAGTGTTAATGAGGAGGTGGAGACGCAGCGCCTTGCAGATCGAAGGGCTGCAAGGGCTGGGACAGTGATAATAATGGGGGATTTTAACTACCCGGAAATTGAATGGAGTAATGGTGCTACAAACATTTATAAACCTACTACAGGACAATTTGTATGGTACAGTTCATAGAGGCCCCAACTAGGAATGATGCTCTGCTGAACCTGGCCATCTGAAACCATGCAGAGCTTATTATGAATGTCCATATACTGTAAAAGAACATCTGGGTAGCAGTGACCATCACATGATTTCATTTACTGTTAGGTGTAAACATCTAGCACATACGGGACAAAATAACAACGCTCAACTTTAAGAGAGCTAATTTTCCAAGGCTGAGAGCTGCTCTCAAAGACATAGACTGGAAGGGAATATTGGCATCGATGAACACAACACAGAAATGGGAGTTCTTCAAAAAGACTGTATGTGAACACACTGAAAAAGATATTCCCATGGGCAACAAGTTTAAAAGGCTAAAAATCAAACCTATGTGGCTTACGGCCAAAGTTAAAAAAAGCTATAGATAATAAGAAAAGAGCTCTTATTAAATATAAAAATGAAGAAATGCTATCATCGTTTAAATATTACAAAGTATATAACAAAATATGCTAAAAGGAAATAAAGGCAGCAAAAATTGAAAATGAACAACCGATTGCAAAAGATAGCAGGAGAAACCCCAAAAAATTCTTAAAATATATTAATAGTAAAAAGGGCCAGTTCGAGCATGTAGACCCTTTACAAAATAATCTAGAGTGGGTGACTGGGGACAAAGAGAAGGCAAATGTATTGAATACCTGCTTCCGCTTGTCCATAATGGGCACGGTATTGACACAGCTCCAGATGATCCACATTGGCTCACAATTGATATGATCCACAAATATTTAGACAAAATAAAGGTGAATAAAGAACCTTGACTGGAGGGCAAACACCCACGGGTCCTTAAAGAATTGAGCTTTGTCATTTCAAAGCCATTGTTTCTCATTTTTAGGGACTCTTTAATGACTGGTATAGTACCACTGGATTGGTGTAAGGCCAATGTGGTGCCAATATTTAAAAAGTCAAAATCTTTACCAAGTAATTATAGACCTGTTAGTTTTACTTCTATAGTTGGGAAGATACTGGAGAGTTTAATAAAAGACCACATAGATGAGTTCTTGCTGGAAAAAATATTTTAAGCAACAGACAACATGGATTCATGAAAGACAGAAGTTGTCAAACAAATCTGATTTCTTTTTATGAGGAGGTGAGCAAAACCTTGGACAGAGGGCTGGAGGTGGACGTGGTATACTTGGATTTTGCAAAAGTGTTTGACAGTTCCCTCCACACACGGCTAATGTGTAAGCTAAAGTCTACAGGCTTGGAAAAATCTCTATGTAAATGGATAGAAAACTGGCTGAAAGATCGTATTCAGAGAGTAGTGGTTAATGATTCATACTCTGAATGGTCTAGGGTTGTCAGTGGTGTACCCCAAGGTTCAGTGTTAGAACCCTTACTTTTTAATATATTTATAAACGATATAGGGTCTGGGATTAAAAATACCATTTCAGTCTTTGCAGATGACGCCAAGCTTTGCAGTTGAATAACGACCTTACAGGATGCCTCCAATTTACAAGCCGACCTCAATGCACTGTTTAATTGGGCAACTATGTGGCAAATGAGGTTTAATGTTGATAAATGTAAGGTTATGCACTTGGGGGCTAAGAATATGCATGCATCATACATACTAGGGGGGGTACAACTGGGGGAATCAATGGTGGAGAAGGATCTGGGAGTTCTGGTAGATCACAAGCTTAATAATGGCCTGCAATGCCAAGCTGCGGCTTCTAAAGCGAGCAAAATCCTCTCTTGTATTAAAAGAGGTATAGACTCCAGAGAGAGAGATATCATCATATTACCCCTGTACAAATCATTAGTAAGACCTCATTTGGAATATGCAGTTCAGTTTTGGGCACCAATTCACAAAAAGAACATTGGGCAACTGGAGAAAGTACAGAGAAGGGCAACCAAACTGATAAGAGGCATGGAGGAGCTCAGCTATGAGGAAAGATTAGAGGAACTGAATTTATTCTCTCTTGAGAAGAAGATATTAAGGGGGGATATGATCACCATGTATAATACATAAGGGGGGATATGATCAACATGTATAAATACATCAGTGGTTCATATAGTGAACTCGGTGTAGAGTTATTCACCCTGAGGTCATCACAGAGGACAAGGCAGCACTCTTTACGTCTGGAGGAAAAGAAATGTAATCTCCAAATACGGAAAGGTTTCTTCACAGTGAGAGCTGTGAAAAATGTGGAATAGATGTCCTCAAGAGTTGGTTCTTGTCAGGGCAGGAACGATGGAATGGGCAGGCAGGCCTATGGTACGGTCACGCCGTGACTGACAGCCACTACCCACAGACCAGAGTCCCTCAGGGCGCGGAGTCTAAGCCCCAGGCTACCCTTCACCAGGGCCCCTGATGGTGGGGATGGACTTGACGCAGCTTGAGACCAGGTCGTGGCCCCTGAGTAACCCCAGCTGCGGTAACGACTGCCGCCAATGGCGTACAGCTGGTGGGGGAGCTAGATGGGAACACGTGTAGTGTAGTCAGACAGGCCGGGTCAATAACAACGGAGCAGACAGTACTAGACGGTAGGCAAAGAATACTCGGGTCACGGGCCGGGTTCAGCAACGGGAGGTTAGGTAAAGGGTTAAAGCAGCAAATAGTCTTGTCCAAGCCGAGTCGGTTACCAGGAGAGCAACGAGAACAGAACAAGAGCTTGCGACAAGGAAACATACAGGACACGAATGCAGAGAGCACTTGCAGACAGCAGGTTTAAATGTGCTCAACCACACCCTTCTGAGGAAGAGCCGCAGAAGCCTGAAGGCATAAAGGTTCCCACCATGCTTTGCAGAAACCCAACATGGATGCCAGCACATGGAGATGCACAAGCTCTGAAGAAAGGTAGGACCTTGACAGTTCTGGCCAGCTCAGTAGATTGCTTTAAAAAAGGCTGGATTCTTTCTTGGATACACAGAACATAACTGGATACTAACATTTATAGGTAAAGTTGATCCAGGGAATATCCGATTGCCTCTCGGGGGATCAGGAAGGAATTTTTTCCCCTACAGGAGCAAATTGGATCATGCTTTGTTGTTTTTTTTTGCCTTCCTCTGCATCAACTGTGGGTGTAGGATAATAACTTTTTTTTATGGTTGAACTGGATGAACTTTTGTCTTTTTTCAGCCAGACTAACTATGTAACTATGTATGTCTTTACTGCTCTAAAGTCCAGTGGCGGTGTGCTTTACACCAATGCATCTGATGCTTTGCATTGCACTTGGTGATGTAAGGCTTGGATGCAGCTGCTCGGCCATGGAAACCCATTCCATGAAGCTCTCTAAGCACTGCTATTGTGCCAATTTGAAGGCCACACAAAGTTTGGAGGTCTTTAGCTATTGACTCTGCAGGCACTTGGCGACTTCTGCGCACTGCGTTTCAGCATGCGCTGACACCCACTCTGTCATTTTATGTGGCCTACCACTTCGTGACTGAATTGCTGTTGATCCCAGTTGATTCCACTTTGTTATATTACCACTAACAGTTGACCGTGGAACATTTAGTAGCAAGGAAATGTCACGGATGGACTTATTGCACAGGTGGCAACCTATCACGGTACCACGCATGAATTCACTGAGCTCCTGAGAGCGGCCCATTCTTTCACAAATGTTTGTGGAAGCAGTCTGCATGTCTAGTTGCTTGATTTTATACACCTGTGGCCATGGAGGTGATTGAAACATCTGAATCCAATGATTTGGAGTAGTGTCCCAATACTTTTGACAATATAGTGTATGTAGGTCAGTAAGTTAGTGATACGTGAGGAGACTGATGTTGTGAGCTGAGGGGTAGAGGGGTTGATTTGGATGTTGTCAGCGCAGAAATGATATTGAAAGCCATGGAAAACTATCAGCTGACCCAAGGAGGAGGTGTAGATTGAGAATAGGAGACGTCCAAGAACAGAACCTTGAGGGACCCCAATGGAAAAATAAAGAGGAGAGGAGGAAGAACCAACAAAAAGCACAGTCACGGATACCAAGGCAGTAAAGTTTTTTTTTTTTTTTTGAGGAGGTGCTCAACCGTATCAAAGTCAGCCAAGAGATCCAGAAGTAGGAGTACAGAACTGTGTCCATTGGTTTTTGCTGTTAGTAAATTGTTTGTGAGTTTTAAGAGAGACGTTTCTGTGGAGTGTTGAGGGCAAAATCCAGACTGAAGGGGATCAAGAAGGTTATTCTTGATGAGGTAGTTGCTCAGTTGGTTATAGACCAGGCATTCAAGGAGTTTGGAGGAAAAGGGGAGCAAGGAGATGGAAGGCTTTTTAAGTATAGGGGTGACTAGTGCATGTGTTAGAGTGTTGTGGAAGTTGCCAGAAGAGAGGGAGAGAATGAAGATGTGAGTTAGAGAATATAGGATAGAGCCAGAGGGTGACTGCAGTATTTGAGAGGGAATAGGGTCCAGGGGACAGGTGGTTAGGTTTAGCAACCTCGTCTGTAGTAGAATGGTTGAATAAGGGTAGTGTTAAGTGTACCTGTGGACATGGGCTGTTAAGTGCGGGAGTTATCTATAGAATGAAGATTTCATTATGAATTATATCGATCTTATTTTTGAAGCGATTGGCGATCTTCTGGGCAGTGAGTGAGTTAGTGGGTGGAGGCAGTGCAAGACAAAGAAGAGAGTTAAAGGTAGAAAAGAGTCGACGGGGACTGGATGAGGCAGTGTTAATGAGAGTGATAAAATAGGCCTACTTGGCACTCTGGAGGCAAGACTTGTACTTTTGGAGGACAGTTTTATAATGGTTGAAGTCTTTGTGAGACTTAGTCTTATGCCACAGATGCTCAAGAGCGGGGCTGTGTTTTTTGAGACTTTTGGTATTGTCTTTTCGCCAGGGTTGTGGGGGTCGGGGTCTGATTCTGTGTGTAGTGAGTGGGTCAAGCTTCTCCAGGGCAGAGGACAGGGATCTATTATAGACAGAAGTGGCTAGATTGGGGCAAGACAGGAGTGAGATATTGTTACAGAGGTGGTCAGTAGCAGAGTGGAGAAGAGAAGGGTTTTTTATTTTTATTTTTAATAAAGGACTTGTCAAAGACTGTCTAATGTCTTTTTTAAATACACTTTTTTTTGTGAATGGGTACCGCATACTCATTCACATGGGGGGCTGGGATCTGGGGCCCCCTGGTTAAAGGGAGCTTCCAGATTCCAATAAGCCCCCCACCCGCAGACCCCCACAACCACAGCCCAAGGTTGTGGGGAAGAGGCCTTTCTCCCCATCAACATGGGGACAAGGTGCTTAGGGGGGGGAGCCTCCCTGCCCGAAATCACCCCTCCCATGGCCTGGTATGGTTTGGGGGGAGGAGGGGCTTGTCCCCCCCCTTTCCTGACCTGCCGGGCTGCATGCTCGAATAAGAGCCTGTTATGGATTTTGGGGGGACCCCCATGCCATTTTTTTTTTAAATTTTGGTTCCCCTCAAAATCCATACCAGACCCGAAGGGGTTGGTATGGTTGGGAGGGGGCGACCCCACGTCGTTTTTTTTTTTAATGTTTTAATTGTCGGGCAATGCTGACAATTCTTTTTACATTCAGCTGCCAGCGGGGAACCCCACTGACAGCTGAAACAATAATGAATATTTCACTATTAAAATATCGCATGACTTAGTAATATAAATCATGCTGTATTTTAGTAACTGAGCGGTGTGTTACCACATACTCAGATGCGGTAAGATACCACTCAGTAAATTGTTCGCGTTTGAACATTCTGTATGTTCGAATGTTTGACCTAACGGGGGGGAGTACGGCCCATCACTAGTGGTGGAAGACAGGGAAAGAGTCAAACTAACAAGGTGGCGATCAGAGAGAAGAAAAGGATTGTTGGAGAGGTTGAACAGAGTGCATAGATGGGAGAATACATGGCTGAAAGGCCTCCATTCAAAGGGGCAGAATAGTGATCCATTCCTGGGCAAGGGTACATAACCTGGACAAATACATATATTTTCTGTACAATGTTCATGAAATTTTATGGCATCTATACAGCACGGGATGCAAGGATAAATACAAAACACAAAGTCTAAAGAAATATTATATATACACATGGTTATATGCAGTAGAGCAATATTGACCTCACTTTGCATCACCACTAGACTTTTATGCTGAAAATACTTGCTTCTCATTGCTTATATATTCACATCTTGTGGGTTCAGCCACATGTCTACTGGGTTTATAGAGAATACATATCTGTTTAACATTGGCTGCTTCATAATCCCCCCTCACACTCTCAAACTTTTATCTATGACAGGGAAATAAGTGATGAGGTTGATACAGAATGTGCATGGCTGACGCATGATCAAGTGCCCCTAGTCCGTATGGTTCTTCTGCCAGTGCTGTTATTATTACACTATGCTTTTGATATGTTTTTAGTGTCCTACTGAGCAGTAGCTTGGGGGATGTGAGGACAAGGTGACTGACATAGAAAAAACACAACATTCCCAGTCTATGAGCTGCACCATGGAATTTTGAGGGGTCATTGTTAAATCCAGCTGTTCTATGTATATACAGAGGAATTAGTAAAGGGCGGATGTGCTTTTAGGGAAAAGCAGAAAATATATACTAGCAGCACAGTGGCTAAATGGTTAGCACTTCCCCCTGGCATAACTAGGGTCATTGGTTCAAATCCCCACCACGGCACCACCTGCCTGGAGTTTGCATGTTCTCCTTGTGCCTGCGTGGGTTTCCTCTCGGTACTCCGGTCTCCTGCCACACTCCAAAGACATGCTGGTAGGTGAATTGGTTCCTGTCTAAACTGGCCCTAGTATGTGTATGTATGAATGTGAGTTAGGGACCTTAGATTGTACACCCCTTGAGGGTTAGGGACTGATGTGAATGTACAATATATATGTAAATTGCTGCGTAAAATTGACAGCACTATCTAAGTACCTGAAATAAATAAATAAATAAATATACTACAGGAGAAATCAGTGATTAGTATGTATGGCCAAAAAAACATATGTACTACATCTCTACATGCACATTTTTCCATGGTCTATCCCTTTAAGAGTGCAACAATACAGAAAAATACTTGCTGATCTACTAGAAATGTGTGTGCTCTGATCTTCCTGCTTCCAGTGACAACACCATGTCTTTGCTACACTGACATCCAAACCAGCCCTGCCCAATTCTTATATCCCCCCCCCACACACACACACACACACACACACACACACACACACACACACTTCTCCATATCATAATGGGGGAGGTGTTCTGTAGTTCATCAGGGCAGGGCTAATAAAAAAAAAACAGCTTGAGATTTCAGTGCAGCACAGTTTTCAGCACCAACAAGAAGTTGGGAGCACACTGGATTTCTGGTAAGATTAACCACTTCAATACCAGGCACTTTTTCCCCCCTTCCTGCCCATGCCAATTTTCAGGTTTCAGTGCTCTCACACTTTGAATGACAATTGCGCGGTCATGCAACACTGTACCCAAACTAAAATGTTATTTTGTTCACACAACTAGAGATTTCTTTTTGGTGGTATTTAATCACTATTGGGGTTTTTATCTTTTGCTAAATTAACAAAACAAGACCGAAAATGTTGACAAAAAAAACATGTTTCTTTGTTTCTGTTATAAAAGTTTGCAAATAAATAATTGTTCTTCATAAATTTAGGCGAAGATGTATTCTGCTACATGTCTTTTGTGAAAATAACCAAAATCAGTGTTTAATATTTAGTCTGTAGGAAAGTTATAGAGTTCACAAACTATAGGATATATCTGAAAATTGATCAATCCTGAAGTACTGACGGCCAATCTAATTTCTTGAAGCCCAAAAATGTCAGAACAGTACAGATATCCCCCAAATGACCCCTTTTTTCAAAGTAGAGAGTCCGACGTATTTCCTAAGAGGCATGGTGAATTTTTTGAAGTTGTAATTGTTTTTCATAATTTTTTTGGAAAATGAAGAAATAAAAAAAATTATTTTCACATTTTTTTTACATACTGTCACCAATGCAGTACAGCGTCTTCATATAACTGGCATGGCGGTGATCAGGGACAATGACTGGTGACAGTATGAAAAAAAAAATTTTTTTTTTTTACATTTTTTTTTATTACATTTTTTCTCTTTTTTTAAGATTTGTTTTTCATATTACAATATGACCAAAGTAGTATAATGTTACCATAGTAACATTGTACTACTTTGGGGAACTGATCAGTGTTTTTTTTTTTTCTAGAATTTCTTTGCTATAAGCAAGCATTTAACTGAATGAAATAGATTAATTCAGGCTCTTTAATTGTGATTAGCTGTGATTTGCCGCGGCAAATCACATGACACAGATGGGCTGTGACTGGACCAGCCTGAGCATGTGATCGCTGTGACCATTCACAGCTAGTCACACTTGTATACAATGGATAGCATGAAAGGAAGCCATCCATCATATACAATTGTCATGTGACCTGCTGTGATTGGTCACAGTAGGTCACATGGTACTGGCAACGGGGCTGGTACACATATCTGTCATTGGCCGTGGCCGAGGTACACAGCCGGTAACAGATCTCTCCACAGTGCAGTCCTGCGGGCATGAGCGAAGTGAGATCCGGGAAGGACGTCATATGATGCCCTCCCGGAGGGACAACAGGTTCACCCGGCCGTCATTTGACTATAGGCTGGGCGGGAAGTAGTTAACAAGGTATTTATCCCGT